TTACTACAAAATTATTAATTCTAATAACAATTAGAGAGTTATAATCACATGTTTCATTTTTCAATGGAGGTTCAATGTTAATCAATGGTATAATAACATTATAATCAAATTTAGTTTTCATAGTTTTATTAAGAATATTTTCCCCTATAATAGCTAATTTTTCAGAACTTTCATAAGGTATTAAACCTTTCAAAGTATTTAATTCATTAGAAAGAAACAAATTATTAATTGTTTGCATTCTTAAATTAGATTGTACATTTCTCCCAAAACTGTATAATCCTTTTTTCAATGCGTATCACATCTGGTATATGTATACTAGTAAAGTGTTTTGTTTCTTTAGAAATTGAATAAGGGAAATCTTTGTTATATTCATTATTAATTTTCATCTTAAGTGCTATATCAACCATCCATTTATACTCTAATTTTGATCTGAATTTGTCAGACTCGTTCATTAATAATGATGTAGAACTACGACACACCTATAAAATATACTTAATTAAAAAAAAATTGAAAGGTACCTATCTAAATTTTGAAGTAATTACCTTTAAACCAAGGTGTTTATGTTGTTGCTTTCTTATTTTCAACCAACGATTCCAATTTTTTAATTGTTTACATTCAATCATATCTCCGCATAAAATTACTTCGTCAGCTGTCTCAACGGGTATACACTTCCATTCTTCATCTTGAATAGATAACATTTTAATATAGGTACAATTATCGAATACTACTTCACTTTCATATTAAATAGATTGATACTAAAACATTACAAATAATAAACAAGATAATATCTATAGAAATACTAAATTTTAATTTTAAAAAATACAATTTTACTTATGTTAGTAAACACAGGTTGCGCATATAGGCCGAGACCACCAAATTATGGGGGCCAGGACCTTTAGTTAATTTTATCATTCCATTAAAAAAAAAAAAAAAAACCGTTAATTTTTTTTTATTTTAATAATAGTTTTTTGTTGAAAATGATTTAATTTATAATATGAAAAAATGTACAGTGGTATTGTTAATACATAACATATGTAAATCACAGAAATCACCAAAGGGTCTGCAAGTGAGCTATCCTTACACAACATAAATACATAACAATGATGTCAACGGCATTAATGATATTATACTAGACATTTTAATCCTTAAATGCATACAGTAAAAAATGTTGCAATGTGATTGATACCGTGTTTTATTCCACATTATGTTATCTTGTTATCTTTCAGATTATACTAGCAGTTAGGCAACATGTTTAAAATCTATGACTTAAAATTGTTTTTTCAGATTATCTACACAAAAATGTAATTAAAAAATCTAATATAGAAGTACAGTGTACTTTCAATTATCCGCAAGCAGACTATCCGCTGTCTTCCGCGGGGTAATCGGTCAAAATATCCTTGAACAAAATATCCAAGGACAAAATATCTAACGGTTAAAATATCCAAATTTATCCGTTTTTCCAAAATTTAGTATCAAATTATTTAATTGATTTGTTAGTTGCACAGTTATTATCGATTATGACCGTTATGGTTATTGTTAAATTGAGATATCATTCCGTTTTGACTTCCGGTTTTTACTTTTGGGTTTGATAAATTGCCCAGTAGCAGTAAATTGAACGAATATTTAAGCGGCAATAAATCGCAAACGGATTACTGAAATTAAATTCTGTAAACGTTAAAATTATTTTTTCTTAGTATGTTTATATATTTTCGCTATCGAAAATAGGTATTTGAAAATTGCCATTTGAAAATCAAAAGTTGATAGTGTTTTATCAAATAAGGGAGAAAGTTAAAATTATTAAAATTGTAACACGGTGTAAAATAGTAATACCTAGAAAGTTTAAAAAAAAAATTATTTTAAAATTCCTAATACTTCCCGAGTTATTAACTAGTTCGTGATAAAAAAATTACCCTGTATTTTGTGATATTATAACGATTAACGTAATTTGTTATACTTGAACTAATATACAGCGTATATAGGTTGAATTAATTTTATGAGCTAATTTTTATAATTTAATATTTAAGCTAATATTTTCAGAAAATTTAGGTTTTTTTATGATTAAATAATTTGATATTTGAGCTAGTTGTATTAGTGCAGTGGTGGCCAAACTTTTTTTTCCTCGGGCCATAAAAAACAATTTTTTTTTAATCGCGGGCCATAAAACAATTGAATTCTAAATTTTTTTTACGTAAATGCAAAATATTACAGTTATACAAATAAGTGCTGTAATATAGAAGACTTTCGCGGGCCAGATATTAAATGATGGCGGGCCGCAGTTGGCCCGCGGGCCGTAGTTTGGCCACCACTGTATTAGTGTAAAGCCGGTCTCACACGACTCGTGTACTTTGCGAGCGTATACTCGGCGAGTGTACTTGCCAAGTTTGTACGATGTACGATGTTTGTAATTATGTTGCTCCTACACGACACATGTGCTCGCCGATTATTCGTCAATTGTATATACTTTGCTCGTCATCGCCAATGCTCCTACATGACTCGTATGATAATAACAATAAATAATAGTCTATTTTGGGGGAAAATCCAAGATTACATTTCTTATCAGCACGAGTCACTCGTGTTGTATCCGACATCGACGGGAAACCACGAGTAACTCGGCGAGTAAAAATAATCGTCTTACTTGACGATTAAACACCTCCTACACGACTTGTAAAGCATCACGATTGACGGTTATTCGCCGAGTATACGAATCGTGTGGGACCGGCTTAATGTACTAATTTTCGGTAAAACGGATAAATTTGGATATTTTGGTTTGAATATTTTGACCTAGATTTCTTCTGCGGTTACAAAAAAACATATATATCTTTACATTATAAATCATTATCGGTTAAAATAGGTTGCGATACGTAGTTGATTACGCGGATTGTACGTTACATTGAATTTGATCTAATAACGTGTAAACCTATTTAGTCTTTTGTCTACTATATAAACACAAGTATTGACTAAAACTTAGCATTCGTGTTTTGCGTTAGTTTAGTTTTAATATTTTTATCAGCAGATTATCCACGGATGTCCTGCCACCCTATTTCGCGGATAATCGAGAGTACACTGAATGTGGTATTAACAGGAATGCCAACAACATACAAATCCAAAAAATCAGTTCTCAGTCAAGAGGAGACAGTAAATTACCCAAATAAGTTTTTCAATTCAATAAAATTGTTAAAACAAAATTGGGCCATAATTTTATTTCATAACCTAAATCCACTAAAACTTAGCAAAAGGACCAGATTGGCAATCAAAAATGTATACCAAATATCATAGGGACAGCTAAAGGAAATTATTTTATTTCCCAAATTTCCATGGTATCTTTCAACACCCCATTCAATCTCAGAAGACAGCAATTTTCAGTGCGATTAGCAATTGTGATAGAAATCTACAAATCTATATAAAATAAATTTCTCACTTGAATTACATAGATGGTACAGTTTTAAACATTAAATTTGTATATTTAAGCTAGTTAATTATAATTAATATATATATATATATATTAATTATGGCTTAAAAAAGCTGTTTCCAGCCCGAGAATAATTACCCCTAAGGGGTAGAATAGGATTTTTTGGGGATAAAGACTGAACTAATATCTTTAACGTACTTATTATGTATTTTATGTATTTCAAATTATAATTATTATTATTTTTTTTAAAATCTTCAAATTATATTTATACAGTGTACTCTTGATTATCTTCTGCTAAACGAACCATTTTTACGTAAGAACAAACAAAAATAAAAAAAATTAATGTTTCTTTACATAATACATAAATCCATCACTGCAGTTCCATAAATAGGTCTAATTGGGTTGCGATAACCGATAATGCGGGTTTTGTCTTAGATCTGGCACATGTGATTTTTAGCAGTTACAGCCTGTAACTAAGATATAATTATGAGACTATTATCTGTATACCTGTAACTTACAGGTATATAGGTAATAGTCTAAAAAAGATTGGGAACCACTGGCTTAAAATGAATACTTTAATTTTGGTAAAAATGTGTAAGACATTAATTATACAAAATTAAATTTATTTAATACTAAATGAAAATTATTTTTAGCCCAAAATAGTAACATGGTATAAACTGGTAAATAACTAATAACTAATAGCAATGCTTTTAACTCCAATATATTTAAAATCCTATGAATAAGGGCTCAGAACATTTTCAAAATGTTTCTACATATATTTCCATCATAATCCAGAAAAATGTTTGATGTATCCATAATAAATAAAACACCGAAAAACAATTGAAAAACTGCAGGACAATGGTAATACTCATTCATAATCTACTAATGACAGACCAATCAGAGAAACTGACATGACCAAATTAAACACAGAATATATGTTATATTTAAAAACAACAACTGATAATGTTAAATAAAAATACCACATCTACACAATTATTGTTAAATAGTATTCAACTTTAAAGATTTAAGTGATAGTATCACATATTTAAAATTTTTCTTCAGAATGTATAAATTTATTTCAAATAATATAAATAATTAAATTAACTATATGGTGATTGAAAAAGAAACTGTTAATTTCATTCACAAATAAAACACAATATATATTGCAATAAAAAGTAAAGCTTCAGATAAATAATGTTAAAAGAATAAATAGTTCAATAATACAAAATAATATAGCATTAATAATTAGAGGAGCTACAACAGTAGTTGCAACTATTCACAGTTATTTTTATTTTTGACGAAATTGAGTTTTTTATTATCAATTTTAAACGACTAGAGAACTAGTTTTAAAATTAATATAATTACATTAATACTTGTAATATAATATAATAAAATTACACAATTTAACATGATAATTTATAGTTGGAAATATTTAATGTTACTTAAATATTATAACTTACATTAATTATATACAACAAACAAATCATATTTATAATTATTGAGGAAAATATGATATTGTTATATCATTAATATTTTTTATTAAAATAATATATTTTGAAGCATATAAATATTTAAAATTGACCTAATGAGAAAAAAAATGTATAACAATATGCTTCAAAATACATTATTCAATACTTGAAAAATTAAAATTCTTTAACAAAACATTTAAGAAAAGATGCTAGTGACTTATTACATATGCAACCATTCAATTAACACACATCACATAAATTTAAATTAACAAGTTGAAAGATTTCCAATTACTTTTTTGCCTTACTGAAATAAATTGGTGATTTATTCACGATGTACAAGTACATACAGTCCAAGACATGCAAGAACAGCGAACTACAAAAAACAAACAAACCAATTAAAATAAACACATCAAGGTGTCATACATCTATAATAATTAACTCAACATATATATTATGAGTAAGTTGAAATCACAAGATATATCAAATAATTTAAATAAATTAAATCAAATACATACTTTAATTTTAGGATATTCATTCATTAAAATAGTGACCATTCCAACATATGGTAAAAACCCTCTGGCTCGACCAACCATATCTGATTTTTCAAGCCAATGTTGCCCAGGAGCATATAAACCTCTATCGTCAACACTATTGTTATCACCTTTAGTTAAAAATTTAATAGTCCCATTATTCCTGGAATAAGAAAAAATTAGCAATATTTTCCATTTTTTTTTTTAAATTTAACAAACTTTTCATGTATTTTCAACACCCTATGAACAATGGGAATATCACGTCCTTCAATTTTAAATACAACTATTTCACCAACTCTAACTGGTTCTTCTTCATAATTTGTTAGGAACAATAGATCACCACGATGAAAAGCTGGTTCCATACTACCACTGTAAAATATTTTAATATGATTTAATTTAAAATTTTTCTAGGAACAAATGATTATATACACATATATTGTATATGTACACATAATGCATTCTTCATTTTAATTAAAGTATAATTGAGCTATGCTTACTCAAATCTGAAGTGGAAAAAATACTGAAGACTATTAAGAAAAATATACCTCAAAGCACCTGAATTATTTTTATTTTTAACCAAGTTACCAACTACTAGTTGTATAACCATTGTTTTTATTAAAGCTAATAACCGATGAAATAATTTATCTTGGTTTTTTGGAAATGTTTAACAAAAAAATAATTCTATATTTCATTATAAACCGATAATATAATTTAACTTTAATAATACTTGTATTTTATTAACAAATTTTAACCAATAATTTCAATTTAAAGATTGTAATTATTATTATACTAATATGTAATTATTATACATTATACTAATAAAAAAATATTATTAATATATGGTATAAATAAAAATATAAAATAGACAGAAAATCTTAAAAGTATTAAGAAATGTAAAAATAAAAATAATTTTAAGCAAATCCAGTCAGTATTTGAATTTTCATAGGTAAACATGATTTTAAATGTAAATTAAAATGTTTTTTTATTTTTATAAAAACTAATAATAATCTTACACTACTTCTAATCAATTCTATACAATTTTAACCCATAAAAATTATATCCTTTTATAAACTATTAATAACTATGATTTTATTTTTATAAGCTAGAATAATATTTAATTTAAAATGAAAAGTAATTATACCTTAAAACAACAACAATAGGACTCTCGCTCCCAGTAAAAACCATTAAACCTTTCCATATCATTAAAGCAGATGAAACTATCATTCCAAAACTCAATACTTGATAGAGAAACTAAAAGCAAAAATAATTTTAAAAATTAAATACCTAAAACTGAATATTATTAAAATAGCATATTGTATGTAAGTCACAAAAATGTATAGAACAAAATTAATCTTTCTTACTTGGCGTTTATTCATGCGTTTCAAATCATCTAGAAATCCGTCAAACATTGTGAAAGAAAATTTATTAACTATTTAAAAATTTAAAAAAAAGTTTAATTTTTAGATTTAACAACAGAAATATAAAGAAATAAGTTTAAAATAATATTTTATCACCGCGTAACCACGTCATTCTTAGATTATTTACTAGTTCGAAGTTAAATACGACATAATGCCGGATATCGGGATATATTGTTATCTTGTTTTGAGGTTCATATTATTCAAATAATACCAAATAAATTATAATTTCATGAAGTAGCGCTATCTATTGTATATTATCTTGTTTTAGTTTTCATCGTATATTATATCACTACGATACCTACATTTCTTAACCCGTTTACAGCACAGAGCAATAAGAATATTCTTATTACTTTATGATCTACTGCCGTGTAGTATATTCAACATCTATATTATATTACATATTTTGTACAAAGAATACCCATTTATTGATGATTATACCTATGCTGTATTACAGGGTCGTGTCTAGAAATTTTTTCGAGGGGGTTCAATATTTTTACTACCACGTATTTTAAATGTATTTATTTTACAAAATAATAATTTTGGTAAAAATTAATTTAATAGTACTAGATAAATTGACAGTAGATTATACAAATAACCTTGGGAATTGTTTATGATATTAAACTTAAATTGTATAAAAATATTAAGCAATTATTTTTTCAAATTTCGTTAAAATGTTGGAGGAGGTGGTTGAACACCCTCCTGCTATATTACTAAGTCGTGATTTTTCATCATTATCATTATATCGTAAATCAAACTTCGTATTTATGTTATCTTGGTCCGTGGTTAATTACAAAATATAATCGAATTATGCAAATAAATTTTTTTGTTTTTAAATTAAAATTACTTCTAAATTTTAATATCAATGTATTTTGTAGGGTAGAAATGGTTTCAAGCAGAGTTCTTAAAAGCTATATTATTTTTAAACTAATAAAAACGAGGCAAATGATCAACCTACTATATTTTTAATTATTTTAATTGACAAATTATGGTTAATTAATAATATTTAGCATGATAGTATTTATATTAATGTTGGCCAACCCCAAATAGTTGAGAAAGGCGATGGAGAAGAAGAAATATTTATAATTATGTTATATAAATGAAGAAACCAATTTAATATTAAAGTTTATATTTATTTAACAAAATACGAAATATAAAAAAAAAGTTAATAAATAATTCAAATAATGTTAATTCTAATTTATTTGACAAGAATAATAAGATCAAGAAGAATAATATAGATAGCTTATATAATACTCCCAATGAAATAACATCATAGGCGTGCGCAGACTTTATTCGCAGGTTATGCAATAAGAAATATAGGGCCCCTCACAAATAAATTTTCTAATCTGCCCTTAATTTATTTGCATTTTCTTTTAACGCATATAAGATTCAAGTCACAATCTAAGTTTTTGCATATATACTACGTAGCTTCTTTACTTCCCTTAGAATCTAAAATTACACATAATTTTACAGTAGAATATTAAACAATGCACTGTAGAAATAAGTAGTTTGAAATTTGATTTATATTTATTAAAAAAAAATGTATTATTTATTTAAGATCAAGTATGTACTATATTGAATGCTTTTGAATAATTTTAACATACTTATAATGTTGTTATTTTATGGAGAGTACTTAAAATCTAAAGTTCAAATCTTCTTTTTATCGGCACACATGCTTTGAATTCATCTATTACATCTTCAATATTGATTTCTGATGCCATCTTTTGCTCGATAAATATTAACATCAGTGAATCAAGACATTCTTGTAACATAGTGTTTCTAAGTTTAGACTTTACAATAGACAATTTAGAAAAATCCCTCTCACACGAGCAGCTTGTCACAGGTATTGTTGCAAATTGTGTTAAAGCTTTATTGAAGTTTGAAAATATTGTTTTCCGGTCGTTTTCTAATAACCAATTCAGCCATACTACAATTGTTTTAGTTGATAACCCTCTAATAGAAGTTCTATCAGACATATTTGTAATGAGCTTAATTTCAGACTCAAATGTAGTATTCAAATTAAATTTTTCCTTCAATATTGAAATATCATTACTATCAAGCTTTAATTGATTTAAATTTCCTGTGGCGGTAATTAAATTTAAAGTTTCTTAACTTAATAATAAATATGGGCCCCACCAGTGGCGTAGCCAGGATTTTTAAATGGGGGGGGGAGGCTAACTACTTTTTTGGATAAGTAAGGTAAGAGAGGATATGAGAATTCAGCCTTACCCCCCCCCTCACCATCTACCACCAAGTTACTAAACGTAATTTAAGCATTTTAGTATAGTTTTAAAAATATTTATTAATATATAATTTATAATAATAATTTTAGTTTCAGTGTTCAGTCACTTGCTCCACTCTGACAGCTGCATCTTCTTAGGCGAATTTCTGGCAAATTCAGTTATTATTTCACTTTCAGCGAATTGCTCTTTTTTATTTATATTAGCCATAGCTAACCCATTCAATCTGTTTTCCGACATGGTGGTTCTTAAAAAAATTTTTAAGCGATTAAGTGCTGAAAACGTTCTTTCCGGAGTGAAAAAGGTAACTGGTAACGTGGCGAATAATTGTAAAAGTATTTTAATGTTAGGTCGAAGATTGGTGTGATGAGAGAGTGAATCAAGAGCAGAATTCGGTTTTGGAATAGTATTTTGACTCCATTGTTGTCTCCATATGAACAGGTTACCTCTGATTGTAGATGAGGTATCATCATGGAGATCTTGGACATATATTTTAGCAGTTTTTATAATATTTTTATCGTCATACATATTTAAATTGGCCGGAATAAGTCCTTCAAGTGGCATAACATCAATAAGCCTTTGATTAAAACGAGCATCCATTGATTCTATTAAATAATCAAGATACATTACACATATAAACACGGCCCATGGGAGGCTATAGCCCCCTTAGCCCCCCCCCCTTTGCTACACCACTGGGCCCTTCACATGAAGCCGCAGACTATGCAGCGGCATACCTTGCATACCCCGTGCGCACGCCTATGAATAACATACTAACCTGATACCTTCTACTTTTCAATAAATATTAATAGACTTAAAAATATTGGACCAAATTGTATTTACTTATATTTGATGAACAATTTACATGTAGAAATAAATGCAATTGGAGATAGTAGCCTTAATCTTATAATTTTGATAAGAAAAACATCTTTATCAATGTTGGAAAAATAATTTCAATGAATGTTTTTCAAATTGTTAATTGAAAATTGTTCATTTTTAGCATGGTTTCACTTTGTTTTAGTTTTCAATCCGTTATTTAATTTTTAAAGAAAATTAAGTTTTAAATAAATCCGTAATTTTCTTTTACAACCATTAGTTTACTGTTTTATTTGTTAAAATAATTTATTAATTATGAAGATATATACAATAAGAAACTATTCAAAAATATTTTTACAAAAGAAACCATTTAAACTAAAAATGTTTTTAAATACATACAATCAAAAGATTAAAATGGGTTCAATAGAACATACTAAAACTGTAATAGATGAAGAATTAAGCATTTTAAATTCATTAGATAATTTTAAAGTACAATATAAAGATCAATTTACTTGTGTGTTAACAAGATGCGTTTTTTGCAATAATATATCTCTATACATTAATAAAATAACTGGTAAATATTGAAAAGAAACTACAAATAGATTATTTGGTTTAACTTAACATTATAATTTTTTAGGTTGGTTTATTTGTACTCATTGTTTAAGGTGTAGTGATTGGTCAACATACAAGCTTCACTTGAATAAGAATGATAAAAAAAGTTTAGTTCCTACTCCTAAAATATTTGAAGCTGGTAAATATTTTAAGAGCATATCTGATAGTTTAATGCATTTTAAATCATTAAAAACTGACAGTAAAAGAAGTATTTTAAAATCTCTTAACATGGAGGTAATACATTTTATACTTTATTGATTTAATTTAAATTCAGTTTATTGTAATTATTATTGAGTCTATCTAACATATATGTTTTAACTGTAAATAAAATACAGTCAAATTGCAAATACTCAAAAATTTTACAACTTACTAAACTGCCAAAAAATCATAAATTATTAACAAATTATACTTTTACTGTATATAATAAATAATACATACTGGGTGCCGCAAAAGAGGTGTAAGGGGGTGCACTTGCACCTCCCTGAATTGTAAAAAAAATATGAATACAGCACCTATGAATACATGTATTCATATTTTTTTTTATTAATTACCTATTAAAGTATAGAGTTGAAAATTTTATTAACCAACAAAATTAAATTTATAATAATTACCTTTATAAATAAAAAGCATATTTCATTTTAGCGTTGAAAATAGAACATTATTTAATTTTATATTAATATACCTATAAATAGATAAATTATTGTAGAGTTATACAATTATATTTTATTTAATTTAGTTGAAGCAAATTTAACTTTTAGGAGTTTTATATTATACTAAGAAATCTAAATAATATTTCAGAATGAAAACCATTTGATAAAACTGATGACAATAAATTATGAATTATTTTTTAGAGGTTTTATATATTTATACTGTAGTATTCATAATCAAAGAGATCAGATTTTAATAATTTAAATTCCACAATTATTGTAGAATTTGATTAGTTTTTATTTAGGGTGTTTGAAATACTATCTCTGTACATACATGATATTAAAGTGAAATTACAAAATAATAATGTATAGAATCTATTTAATTTTAATAACACTATTGAATTTTGTGATATACTTATTATAAATAAATTTTTAACATTCTTACTATATTAAAAAAATTTATTTTACAGGGATTGCAATTAAAAAACCTTGATCGTATTCCAGGTTTATATGTTAATTTAGAAATTAATTGTCTGTACTTAACTATGTTGCTTGACAATAAAACTGTTGTTGGATACCAAGAAATTAAATTGGATAGTCTTGATCAATCTATTAATCCAAGTGACTGTTGCTATGGAATTGCTTGTGTTCCTCCATTTATTTCAAACCCTAGTCAAAGTGCTATTATTGTTGATGACTTCAAACATTTATTGGTATTAACTGGCCGTCATTTATTCCATCACATAATTTGTTTACCACATGGTATTTACCTTTTTGTTAACTTATTAATTAATTAATTAATTATTTAAAATCACATGCAATATCAAATATGATATATAATATATTAATTAATAAATATTAAAATAATTCATATGTTAACATTTTTAAATTATTTAATAGTTATAACACGACAAGAATAATTAAAAAAATATAAATAGCTTAATCATTTTTTTGCTTTTTATATTTTTGGTAGAATTTTCTCGTATCATCTTTTGGAAAATAATGTATCTATTTTAACTATTCATCGATTATAAAAAAATATCAAATTAATTGGCTAGAGTCAACTACTATATTCATTAAATGTTAATTGACGTAGTTTTCTTTTAAAGTACTTTAAAGTAAAACTATTCTTATATTGTTATTTTTACACTTTTTTTTAAATATCCCAGATTCTTTTAAAAGTTTAATATTTATCATTAAGTAATTAAAATATTTTAAAAAATTGTAAGTTCTTGATTTTAAATATTTTTGTAGGATTAAGAAAATTACCTCAAGAATTATTGCCATCTTTAGAGCATTTTAAAAAATTAATTTTATGGTTTGGAAATGATCAGATTGCATGGAACTCAGCTAGAACTTTTGCTAAAAAGTTAATAGAAAATAGATGTTATTTTATAAGACCTACTGATGATCAACCATCTCCTTACTTGGCTAATAAGCTTGGATTAAATATTGAACAAATAATTAAAACTGCTGATCAAATGGTTCATCCTAGTATTATTCAATTTTCAACAATACGAAAAGAAGTTCTTGCTGAATTACAAAACCATGACAAGGTTTTATATTATTATTTTATTCATACTTTTCTATCATTAAGTTTAAAAATAAAAAATAAATAATTTTATATAGACGCTGGGAATAAAATGGACAAAATTTCCAGTATTAAATAAAATTATTGGAGGTCATCGCCGTGGAGAACTTACTATAATAACTGGTCCAACAGGATCAGGAAAAACCACATTCATGAGTGAATATTCATTAGATTTGGCTGAACAAGGTGTAAGTAATAATAAATTATACTTGTTTACTATAAAATAGTATTAATTAGGTTAAAAAATATTTTAGATTCTGAATGGAACAAAGAATGTATTGATTTTTGTGGTTCTACCATAATAAGTAATTTTTATTTTTCATATTTCCATGTAGATGATTTTGATCTAAAGGTTTGATTCTATCATCACAATTATAAAAGATTTCTGATAGAAAATGTTGCCTATTTAGTACTTTGAGGCAGCTCAATTTACAAATTTAACATTTTTGTTAGTAATTATGAAAAACTAACTGAAAAGTCACAAAAGAGTTTATATATTATATGTATTGCAGATGAAATGTTGATGACATCAGATATTTCATTGAATTTTCATAAAATAATGTTAGTTATGTAGTTGTTATTCCATAAATATTGATCAATTTGAAACATTTCCTAAGTACTTATATCAGCATTTTAAAGACATTTCATAATTTGGAAATATTTTAATGAAATTTATACTATTTATTCCTCTACTATCAACTATCGTAAGAAATGCAAACTAATCCATCTGATCTCTTTCACGCAGAAACATTGTTTTTCGAGAGCATCGGTTTTAAGTTTGAAGAGACATTACAGCAATTTCATTCATCCATCCTTGTACCTCATCTGAGTCAGGAGCTTGGCCCTTTTTTTTATTTAATTTTTAAAATATTTATTTATTATGATTAAATTAATTATAAAGCCTTAAATTTTAATTTTTTTAAATAATTAAATTGAATTTTTGATATTGTTTTAATTTATTAGCAAATATGATTAAAATGCTTATTGTTGCATCTTTAAATTGTATAAAATCCAAAATCATTTTTTATATATTGTTTATAGTTGCCAACATTATGGGGAAGTTTTGAAATACGCAATCAACGATTAGCAAAAATCATGCTCCAGCAATTTGCTAAAGAGCCCGTGCATCTTAATTTAGATTTATTTGACAACTTAGCAAATAAATTTGAAAAACTTCCAATATACTTTTTGACATTTCATGGTCCTCAACCACTAAATATGGTGATGGATGTAAGTTATATTTTATTTGTTTATTTATAAAAGGTCATCAAAGCTTATTTATCAATAGCAATTAATTGTTTTTAATGTACCCTACATTATATTAAAGACTTAATATTAATATACATGTTAGAAAAAAGTGTTTTTAGTAAATAATAGTGTCTTAAAATAACCTTATTACCCTAGATCACTGTTGCTTGATATAATTTACTTGTATTTTATTATTACTAGGCTGTAGTAAATGCTGTTTATGTACATGATATTGGCCATGTGGTCATTGATAATGTACAATTCATGATGGGAATTAGTACTAAATATGACATGGGCTCTGAAAGGTTTTGGCAACAAGATTCAATTATAGCAGAGTTTCGGCGATTTGCTACATATTCAAATTGTCATGTGACATTAGTTATGCACCCTAGAAAAGAAAAGGATGTAGAACAACTATCCATTAATTCAATTTTTGGTACTGCAAAAGCTACACAAGAAGCTGATAATGTTCTTATTATACAACATAAAGTTATGGAATCTTTGCAGATAAAAAAGTATCTTCAGGTAATATTTTTTATTGATAATATACAAATCTATTTACATTATTATTTACTTCTTCTCCTTCGCCATTCTCCCAACTATTTGGGGACAACCACCCTTGTTCTAAACCTCCACTCATCTGATTTTCTACATCCCTTAGGCCAGGGATCGGGAACCTGAGGCTTCTTAAACCATATACCATAGTTGATCTCACTACAATCCTGTAAAATTTACCTTTCAGCTTCATTGGAATTTTCTTATCATATAAAACATCCAACGCTTCTCTCCATTTCATCCAACCGCATTTAATCTTATATCAAGGATGGCCAACCCGTGGTCCACCTTGGAAAGTTTGGGTACTGCGAGATTTATTAAACATTTACAAAAAAAAAAAAATGTATTTTTTCCCAATAAAATATTTTGGAATGCCCGCACAATGTGGAATCCGTATTATTAACAATGTAATCACAACAAGCTGTTTGATTCATCAACAAAATCTTTGTTCTCAAGTATTATCGGTGAACCATATTATGCAAGTAGTAATAAAAACAGGGAATTACATAAATTGTTTATTAAATTAATTACATTAATTAATGCACCAAAACCTATTTTATAATAATAATTAATGTTGTTTAAAAAGTTAACCCACAGGATCGTAATGTATTTCCAAAGTGGCCTGTAAGATCATTTGGATTGGCTACCCCTGTCTTATATTTTACATCCATATCAAACGCCCCCCGTCTTTTTTGTGCAAATGATCCTAAATATTTAAAGTTCTCGACTTCATCTATCACATCACCACAGGCATGAGAAGACCTGTATTACAGGGGGTGCCTACAATACTTTTGGGTCTTATCTTAACAAAACTTGTAGGTATATTTGTATATTTAATAAATTATAATGTATAAATAATTACATAAATCTAACTTTAATTTTTTATTTAATATTGTGATATATTAGTCTCAATGAATATATTTTCCTTGAATCTCATATATTTTTTCTCAGATAGCTTCAATTATTTATCTGTACCTTTGTAGTAAATTTGTTATGTTATCATAATAAGGTTTTGCACGAAAATTTAGAACATTTTATTTTATATTTTCTATTATGAATCATCATTTATTTTTACTAAACATTTAAAAATAAATTACATTTAATTTGATCAACATTAGTTAAAATATAAGCCCCTTACTTTTAGCCTTAGATTTTAGAGCTTCATTTACAAAATTTCGGAGGTGCTAGGCACACCCGGAACCACCCTTGCGTACCCTATGCACATCACCGCTTTTTGTCATCAATCAATTCTTGGTATCTTCCTCCAGTCATACTTTATATTTACATTTTTATCAAAAATAATTTATAATATGACAGTGAAATGCTGAAAGAAATATTTTATATCTATTGTATTACCTACTACATGATTTCATTAATTGATTGTCTAATTAAAAATCTATAAATGTTTACAGATTTCTAAAAATCGATACAATGGTAATCTTGGACTTATGCCTCTAGAATTCAATAAACATAGATTAAGTTTTTCTCAAGAAAAAGACTAAACTACATAATTTTCTTATAAATATGTGTAATGACTTTAATCAATAATTAATTTAATATCTATACAAATTGTTTTTAAAATAAAATTTTCTAAAAAAACTGTAGTCTTTTAATTTGATATGTAATTTAAAGTATTGTAATTAAAATTAATTACAAATTTATATCTAGTAAATATTTTAAAACCATAGTTTTATTTTTTGTTCAACTATTAATTGTAAAGTTAATACTCAATATATTATATGAAAAAATATTAAGGAACAATTCTTATGGAAGGTTAGTATAATTCAAATTTTAAAATTTGGATTGGGGTGATGATTCTATATATCATTTAGATATAAAAATATACTTGTTCTATGTTTACAACTTAAACAGACTTTGGGACTGAGATTAAAAATGAGTTCAATTAATTTTAAAAACATATAGATTTTAATGTTTAATATATTTAGGATTTAAAACGTATTTTTTTTCATTGGTTATGTAGCATTATTCATGATTACATTTTGTTGTCATGACATTTTAGTGTAAAACTGAATACTTGTATGTATATATATATTGTTAACACATGTGCTTTTATCTACAACAATCTACAAGTGTTTTTGAATATATAGGTACGTGACAAAATACACAAATAATTAATTAATTTGTCATAATATTAAATAGGTACGCATTTTGATTCAATATATTTGGGCACTGAATAATATTTTTCTATTTTCCACTCACTACATCCAAAATTTTATACGTGCATTTTTACATTATAAATTCACACGATAGACCATATAAATTATGCTATACGTCTGTCACATTATAAATTCACACAATAAACCACATAAATTATGTTATTACCTTATAACCAGTAGGTAGCGTATTTTTAAATATTTTTGAGAGGGTTTAACATTTTTTTAAAAAACAAGTGATTTTATAATATTATAAAAAATACATATAAGGTATAAATTAATGTTATATTTCTCTATACATTCGTAGCAAGTCATTTATTACTTTTAAATCATTTTTTTTTTCTTTTGGAATAGTCGGACAGGTGTAGGAACCTCTCACGAAAATATACTACTGCTTATAACCCTTTAGCAGATCTACTAATTTACAGACTATCGTAAAATGAGATGTAGATAATATTCGTTTTATGGTATCTTGTGATACATATTCCTCTGATATAATTATACTCAATAAACAATATTAAAATTTAAATTACTATATTTTGCTAGTAAGCAGTGATGTTAATTTTTATTCGTAAAAGTACATGATTTATTTGTATAAACACACGTTTGTTGTACAAAATCGGATGCAGAATACGATTGATTTGACATACCTATATTTATTCTTAAGTTATAAACTATAAATGTTAAGTATATTATCAGAATATATGAAATACATTATGTATATTTCATATATTCTATGATAGACTCCATTAACATATTGACATCATTGAAAGACTGAATCAAAACGGGTGTTGATCAGATGAATCAATCTTGATAAAACTTGACAGAAATTTAAAAAAATATTAAGTTTGAAAAAAAACCTTACTTTAAAGGAAGATGGGAGACTTAACTGTATAATATATATATATATATAAATATTTATTAATCATGGGAAAATTAATCTTATTTTCCATAAATTAGAAATTTAAAAAACGTATACATGTCATACCTAGGATTACCATATATACTCTTTTAAGATACGTGTTCTCTTTTGAGCTCTTATTTTTCTACTCTCACTGTTTTTATATTGAAAAAAAATGTAGGTACTATTGTTTTTATTTATAAACAAATAATGTTTTTTATCGTCATATTAAAAACCCAATTATTGGAATCGGATGCCCTGCTCACATTCTAAATAACTGTGTTCAACACGCAATTGATAGTTTACCAATCGATATAAAGTCTATTATATTAAAAATATATAATTATTTTTCAATTTATACAGTACGTACAGAATCATTAAAAGAATTTTGTACTTATGTCGATGTTGAGTATAAAAAAATTTTATTTCACTCAAAAACTAGATGATTATCATTGTTTTCAGCTATAAACAGTCTGTTGCAAATATATCCAGTTTAAATAATCTTGCACTTAAATCATATTTTTTGTCAAAAAATAAAATATCAATTGTAATTAAACCTTTTTTTGAAAATCCTTTAAATGAATGTTATTTATGGTTCATTCATTCACTAATGTATATATTTCATTCGAAAATTGAGATAATGGAAAAGTAAAATAATTCGATTTGGAAATTATCATATGTATTGTTCAGTAGAAAATGCCTTACAAGAACGAAAACAACAAGAGTTTTTACCCTTAAAAGTAAAAGAAATATTTAAAAATAATTATAACCAATCAAATGCATCTAATTTAAGAAAAGAAATGTTAAATGTTTAAAACCATCATTTTTTAAAAAATGAACAGCTAATTTTGATCAATTTAATGTTCTCAAATGGATGTTCCTAAAATCCAAACCTTTGTGGATTGATATAAAAAATAGCAATTTATTTTTAAAAAAATATGATCTACAATTAAATGACTTATTATTTGATCAATTTCAATACTTAAGTATAAAATGTTTTTGTCAGAAATGGAAAAAAATTAAGATTTCTCATCATTATTACCAGATGAAAAGTGGGTAAAATATTTTGAACAAAGGAGCTATGATACATCTTCAGAACTTTTAAAAATATGCACGTTTTACTTTGCCATACCTGCTCAAACTGTCAATGTCGAAAGAATTTTTAACTTTATGAAAGCACAATGGACTGATGATAGAAACAGACTTCTACCGGATTCTGTTAAACATTTGTTGATGACACAATTTAGTTTTAAGCATTTTGACTATACTCAGTTTTATAACTACTGTATAAAAGATAAAAGTTTTTTATTAAAAATTCGAAGTAATGATAAATATTAAATTTTATGTCTCAATTCTTAATCTTTAGTTACCTATTTAAAATAATGTTTTTTATGTTAATTAAATAAATATTAGCTATGAAAGTAGGTTTTTATTATTACATTTAAGGAATTATATTATATTATGTACTCTATTCTTAAAGGCACCATCTGGTAAACCTATTCATACCTATTTAATAAATTTAAATTTTAAATAAACAGCAGTCAAGAAACTAGGGAAAAGTATTTGGTACCTATGGCTTTGATCTGTCAAAAGTATTTTAACGTCATATATATATATTAAAGTTCCAGATTTTTATTTTATTTGCATATTGACAAATTAAACATAGAATATTACAGATTTATAGCATATTATATATTATACCAATTATTATCTATAATTAGGGGTAGGATCAGACCCGTGTTTAGGGGGCATGGGTAGATACATGTCCGGGGGCGTAAAGTCTCAGGGGCAACAAAATATTTTAGCAAAATTAATTTTAAAAATTATGTACCTAATGAAAAAAAAATAAAACAATAAAAAAAGGAAAATAGTATGTTTTATTATGTTATAATTTGTTTAATTTGTTAATTAAAAAAAGTATTAAACGATTTTCATTTTCAAGTTATATTTTAATATTAAAGAATCTCGATTATGGACGAAATAATAAGTGTTATAATATTATTATTTATTTTGGGGGAGGGGGCATAAATTTAATGCCCGGGAGCACCAAATTTTTAAATACGGGCCTGGGTATGATGTTATGTAAATTTAAATAAAAATTATAATAAGTCCGATTTTATTTTAGCATATGATAAGAAACTTTTTTACAAAGACATTATAACAATTATACAATGTCTTTGAAATTTAAGAATGGTTAATCTGATTAGTGATAGGGCAGAATAACTTTTGAGTTTGGTTTTAATTTTTGAATTTTTTTTATAATTTTAATTTTATGTGTTTTATATTTCATGTGCTAGTTATTAAAATTTACTGAAACTTTTTTATCATTGGTGCTCTTAAATAAAATGTATTCATTTTATGTAATTTGTGTGTTATTAAAACATTAATATGTTATACCTTAATCGATTTCTAATTCAATTGGATCTACAAACATTGTTTTTGTTAAAATGTAGGTAATCTAATATTACTTAAATAAAATAACCGAAGTTAAGATTATAATATTATACTATAAACCATAAAGTATTGAAATATCTTCATATTAATTCAGTTGGTTTGTGTTATGATAAAAAAAAAAAATTACTGTACTAGTGAAAATGTAGCTATCCTGATAAAAAAAAAATGTTGGTAATTAGATGTTAATTTTGTTATTTGAAGCTAAACATATTATACAATTCACATAGTACTATATTTTGTACAACATTTTATATTACCTTAAACTTTCCATTGTTTTTTTATTTAAAGTATGTCATATATAACCAAATAATATTAACTTGCTTTAAATAAATTTGTATATAAAATAAATATACAATTCTTTGTTTAAATTTGTTTTAAGTACTCAAGTCTATATAATTGTATAATAATCATCTATTAACTAATTAATATAAAAAAGTGGAAATTATACGCAGTCCTTTAAAATTATTGCAAACATTCACAATATATACTGTAGTAATATTTTATGTTATACCTATAACCTGTATGCCAAACAACTTAAAAATTTCTTATTTTGTTGTTTTTTGTCCTAACCCATAATTAATTTTTTTTAGCAATTAGTATAATAAATAGTAATTTTAGTTAGTATATTTAACCAATGGTCTAGAAGATATAAAGAAGTAGTTATGGAGGTGTTTAAACCATCTTTAAATTAACTGGCTTTACATTACTTTACATACAACATACAATAATTGAGCATAGTCTTAAATCTGTATAATTTAATATAAAAAACCATATGTGATTAAAATATTGTTTAATACATTAATTTTAAATATGAGAGAATACTAATTTAAAAAATGTCTTTAAATAATATATTTGAATGGATTACACTTTGCAGATTAATTGTTTCAGTTATAATTAAAATATATAAAAATAAGCATTTTTAAATTTAACTAAAAAAAAAATCATATAAAAAAAACTATAAGATATCTGTTCAAACACTTGCTATTTAAAATACTAGATATATATCATCTATAATATACCTAGATATATATAATATACACTAGATAATATCTATTTTATAATTTAAATTAAATAAAGAATATTTTTTACCTTTTTGAGTTTCACGATTAAAATATATTAAAAAATAATTGTGTTTCATAATCATCGAAAATCTGTGAAGTATGAAGTATTAAAATATATAAACAAACATTTATTATTTTAGGAAATCAATGGACATGTTAATTTTAACATTAAAGAGAGAGAAAAATTATGCTTACAGAACATTTTCTGTAAAAAATCACAATATCAATCGTTATAATTACTCAAATATTTATCCAGAAAAATAACCTAAATGGGAACTTTACAGTATTCTTCTTATCCAAAAGTAAGGATTTTATTAAAAAAATAATAATATTAATTTTAATAATCTTATAAAATATTATGTATTTATGTCTTATATATGTGTTAATTAGTATTTGAATATTGTTGTAATGACAAAATTAAAAATAGTATATATAATTTATAAATACTCAAATAAATATGTATAAGTGTAGTTGATTCATTTTAATTAAAATTTTAAATGTACTTTTTTCCATTATAAAATTTGTAGTTACTTTTGAAACATACAAACTTCATTCCTTGGTCTATTAAAAAAATATTTATTAACATTTTAATAAAATTATAACTTGAAGGTACATAAATTAGATTATAAGGATCTAAAATGTATTATAATATATGTATCAACAGCACTTAGATCAAATTTATTTTTTGTTATATTTCACATTGAATAAAAAATAATTTTATAATATAGTTAAAAATTATAGTTAAATACTCAAATATAATTACCACTGTTATTTTTCTTGAATCTAATAGAATTGAATTTCTTAAATCTTTCATTGTACTTTCACCAAAATTATAATTTTAAAATGTTAATTATTAATATTTAATGTTACAGAGGCATAAATAATTAGTCAATTTTCAGACATCTCTCAAAATGCCTGAACATATTCTATTGAGTCGGAATTCTGAAGGAAGATCTTCTGGTAGTAGTATAGTCAGCAATGGAAGTATGCGAGTGGCTACATTACCTGTAACATCAATTGATGATGGAAAATCTAGGTTCCCAAAGTTAGAAGAATGTGCCCATTTTCATTATGAACATGTTGAGCTTGGACCATTAAAAGTTAGAAATATTTTAAAATATTTAAATAAAATCTAATCTTATTTAATTTCCATGATTTTATTATTTTAACTTAACATTTTTAAAAGTTTATTACTTTTAATGTAGTATATTTATGGGAAAATGAATTATATTAATTTTTCTAAAAAATTATAAATTTATATTTTAGTTTGATTTAATTGAAGAAGATGAACAAAAATTTGGAAATATTGATTATGATAGTGATTGTTGGTTAACTATTAAAGTTGAATCACAAAATACTGTTTGGGTCTTAAGACGTTCCTATGAAAACGCTAGAACTCTTGATCATCAATTGCATAAATGTGTTTATGATAGAAAATTTAGTCTACTTCCAGAACTTCAACCTATACCAAATGATTGTGAAAATCTTAATGTAAGTAGTACAATATCAAAAAGTTTAACTACTTAAGATTTTATAATTAACCATTACCATTGTATATTTTGAAATTTTTAGAAATACGTAAAGGAATTGATTAGTAAATATTGTAAAAGATTATCTGAAATAGCAGTAGGAAGTTTAATTAATTGTGGACCTATACTTAGCTGGCTTGAACTTGATAACCGTGGCCATCATCTTTTAGTTGCTGATGGAGATCATTGTGCAATAAACACTCCTGCTGTAGCTGCAGCTTATTCAGTCAGAAAATACACTGCACATGCTTCTGATGAAATTTCATTTGATGTAATTGTTTTTTTTTTTTGTTTGTCTATGTCTATATTATAAACGTTATTAAGTTATGATTTCATATTCTTAGGTTGGAGATATAATATCTGTTATTGATATGCCAACACCTGAAGAAAGTATTTGGTGGAGAGGCAAACACGGTTTTTTAGTTGGCTTTTTTCCATCTAACTGTGTAGCTGTTATAACAGATAAAATTCCAAGAAATCTTTATATAAACCCCCAAATGTTACCAGTTTCCGAACCTACCAAATCTGTATTAAGGTATGATTGTATGATATATTTTTTAATAAATAATTTAATTTATATGGTTTTCATATATAGATTTAATAATTATTACTTTTAAAGCCAATAAGTATAATTTTATAAAATCATTAAAAAATAAAAGAATAATTTAATAATTTTTTGGAAAAATATATTAACTATTCCAAAAATAGTATCAAGAAATGTATATAAAAATTGCTTGATTATTGTTTTATAATACTTTTTGGTTTTTATATCTTGAGAGTCTAATTATTAGTTCATTTTTAAATATAATCATTATCATAAAATAAAAAATAAAAACAAAACTATTTTTAAGTTTTTACTGAAATTATTTCTTATTTCATACATAATTTTTTATCTCGCTGAATAGTGTTACACAAATCAGACTTAATTACTACTGAAATGTATATATCAAAATAACTTATGGATACTTTATAATTAATTATATATATATTTTTTTTTATATTATTACTCATTGTTTTTCTTTTGTACCTTATACTATTTACAATTATTTCCTTTGAAAGATTTATATTTATCTTATTATAATTTTCAGAAAACATGGCAAACTGATATCATTTTTTCGATCTTTTATATTATCAAGACCAACTCGAAGAACATTGAAACAATCTGGAATTCTAAGAGAAAGAGTTTTTGGATGTGACTTGGGTGAACATCTTCTAAATTCTAAAAGAGATTGTTCGTAAACTTTTTTTTTAAATGTTATATGTAATCAAATACTAATATTTATAAATAAGTATTAAAAGTTTTTATAGGTTATTTAAATTTAGTTAAAATAGTAAAAGATAGATAGATCAGTTTTATTTAATATAACATTTTAATAATTTATTATTTTTATTATGTGGCTGTTCAAATTTGATTTGCAAGATATTTAATTAATTATTTTTAATTCTGATTAAAAACCCAAGTGGATTCAAAAATATTTAATGGGAAGAAAGTGGCATTATATTAAAATACAATTTATGATTAAATTTATTGAAAAATAAATAGCAATTTTAATTAAATCAAACAAAGGAAAGTTTAAAATTAAATTAAAATAAAACATGTTGCATAACAATTGAGACTAACATACAAGTCTGATATGATAAATTATCGACTTAATTGCCTCTCTATTTTGATAAAAAACAATGCCATTTTAATCCATTCTATTTAATCAAAACTGGAAGTATTATCTTAAATAGTATATAGTTAAAGATCACAAAATTTTCCTTTTTATATTATTAAAATATCAAAATAAAGTAAAATATTATACTTTATTTTACTTTCATTTCAGTACCAGATGTGTTAACTAGTTGTGCTGAGTTTATTGAAAAATTTGGAATTGTTGATGGTATATATAGACTTTCTGGAGTTACATCAAATATTCAAAGATTGAGGTTTGTAATTTATGACATACTTATATTTTGGTGTTAAGTAATTTTCTTAGGTATTTTTAAGTATTTAATATATTTAAAATATAGTATGGGTTACTTTGTATTTAATTCAAAGTCGTTGAACAATAATTTTATATATTTGGAATCAAATAAATGTTAGTTTTTAGGTTTTATGACATGTGATTTTAATATAAATATTTACAATATTGATATATTAATTATATTATGTCTCCCTATGCACTTAATTTTTTAAAGATCGTTAAAGTTTTTTAATGGATTTAAATACTTTCTCTCTTTTCCTCCCATTAAAAAGTATGTTTTCTAAATAAAAACAATTGGTTAAATTTATGATTTAAAATATTAAATATTTATATTTTATTTATTTGTGAATTTTTTACTGTATTAGATCAACATTTGATGAAGATAAAGTTCCAGCTCTGTGGGAAGATGAATCAATAAGGCAGGACATACACAGTGTGGCTTCATTGTTGAAATTATATTTTAGAGAATTACCAAATCCATTATGCACTTATCAGCTTTATGACTCATTTGTAAATGCTGTACAATCAGTACCTGAGAAAACAACTGATGTAAGATTACAACTTATGCGAGAAACAGTTCAAAAGTTACCACCACCTCATTTTAGGTATTTATATTAGTAATATTTTATGTTTAAATTTTTGACATTTTTTTTATAACATTTATTTGAACATGAGTTTGTCTTTATAAGTTATATTATCAATTATTAATATTAAGAAATTATATGCACTAGAACATTGGAGTACTTGATGAAACATTTGTCTCGAGTGGCTGCTCTTGGTGAGCAAACAGGTATGACAGCAAAAAATGTTGCAATTGTTTGGGCACCAAATTTATTAAGAAGTAAACAACTGGAAAATGGAAGTGGTGTTGCTGCCTTACATGGTGTTGGCATTCAAGCTGTCGTAACCGAATTTTTAATCCGATATACAGAGTATATATTTAGTCCTATTCCTAATGTTGGAGCAAAATTACCACCTACTAAAGGTAATAACATTTAATTATTGATAGATAAATATTACTCTCAATTATTATTTTAGGTACTCCCAAGAAGTCTAGACCTAAATCATTAGCAATATCTACTCAGACCAAACTTTTAACTCTTGAAGAAGCTCAAAGTCGTGTTTTAAAAAAAACTGATCCTAATTATATTGAAGTTGGTTAGTAATAAGTATACAATTATAATTTAATTAAAAGTATAAATACTGATTTTTACTATTTTTAGGTGGTGGTCCTTCTTGTTTGCCTGAAAAATATCATACGGTTATTGAATTACCTACTAGAAGATGTAACACTAATAAAAGACGTTCCCCATTGAAGTGGAAATCATTCTTTACTCGTGGTGGAAGTAGTATTTCTCTTGGCACACCACCTCTTCGTAAAAAGTCTGAACCAAACATAATACCTTTTCAAAACCTGGTGAGTTTTTTATGATTATAATCATTATCAGTAATTATTAAAAATTAATTTACTGTAATTAGTACTATAAGTAAGTAATTACTGCATTAATTTTGCTTTATTTTTATTTAAAAAAAGTTTCTCGTAGGATTATTATAAATACATTACAATAAATATAGTGGATCTAACATAAAATTAAAATCCTTTGGTTTACATTCATATTTTATATAAAAAATTTTTTTTTAGTTCTTTAGCTATATTTTTGTTATAAGAAATATTTTTTTTAATAACACTAAAACATTATTTCTAATTATTTTATATGAATGTATTATGTAAAAGTTTGTATGACAATAGTTGAAAGAAATTATGTCCTTTACTTTTAAGTTTGATGTACTGGGTTCATAAAATGTAACTAGTATTAAATCTAATAAAAATCTTGTTAAAAATTTAAAATAAACAATATAAATATGCAATAATAGAAAATCTAAGTGTAAATGTTTTTATAAAAACATTAAAAAATTATTATATTTGAATTTTTTCCTATACTTTTCTGTTTAAACGATAAGTGAAAATATAGAGTTATAACTTTAAATTATTCTTGAATTATAATTTATAATTTATTTTATTTCAAAATAATAATAATTTACAATCTATCAGGAATCCAAAGAATGTGTACGCCAAAGTATGGCTGAAGGTATGAATGTACAAGATACATCTACTAAGTCTTCCAAGATAATTGGCGAAACAATGTCTTTAAAGGAAATTAAAGGAACACCTCCTTGTTCTCCTCCTCGTTTATGTGGTTCTAACTCAATTGGTCATAATCGTTCAATTTCACATGATTCTTATTTTGATCAACTTGCTGATCAAGAAGAATTGGATGTATCACCTTTACATCACCCAAGCCAAGAAGGTAAACATATATATATATATATTATTTTATTTTATTTCTATATTTATTATTTAAGATTTAATGGTATTAAAATTATTATAACTAATTTTATAGATTTAAGTGATTTACGAGTTAATTTTGATTTGGACGATTCCGATATGAGAGTATTTTCAGATGAAGATACAAATCATATTTTCAGTAATCGATCAAGTATGGAACATATTCAAAATATAACAACAAATAATGCAAATAATGTAAGTTTATAAAAAAAAAAAAAAATATCTACAAGCAAACATTTATATTTCTAATAATCAAAAGATTTATTTTACTACAATAAACTAATTATAAAATATAAAAAATATTGAAAAATAAGATACACAGTATTTGCAGCATCCATTATAATATAAGTATGAGGTGGGCAAATGGTTTTTTATACATAAATAAAGAGTATAAATTTAATAATTTAACAATATCAAGAATAACCAATCACACTTTAGAATTAATTATTAATATAAACAAAAATATATAGTAAAAATATAACAATGTTACAGCAAGGTAAAATATAATTAAATATTAAATTGTTCCTACTGTTTTATGTATTTTTGTAAAAAAAAAATAAAAAAAATAAATTTAATAATGAAAATTATTAACTATTATAATAATATTAAAGAGGGACATATATTTAAACCTGTAATTCAAGTATTTAGACTATTTTTTGGCAAAATAATTTAGAATAAAAACCTTGTATTTAACATGTATTAATATTTCAATTAAATCTGGTGTTATGTTATTGGTTTAAAAATGGAATTCAATGTTTATGTCTATACAATTCAAGTAGATATATTATAGATTATTATAATATAATTATTAAGATATTTTATAGTTAAAAATGTTTAATTTATGTACCAAAAATATTTTGTTGAAGAAAATATTTATAAATTTTAAACATCATCTTTGAAAAAAAAAAATTATATAAAGTTAATATTTTTTAAATTACTATGATGACCTTATTTTAAGATGCATTATTATTATATATTTAAAATAACATTGTTTATATTTATGTATTTTAGTTAAATAGTAGTACTAAACGTTTACCAGTATTAGCACATGCAGAAGATTCATTGAGTGCTGATCCATCACCTAAAAAAATTAAAACAACGGATTCAAACAAGGATAGCGATCATACAAAAAATAATAGATTATCATATCTAGAAGAGCGATTTGCTTCATCTGATATTCGATTTATTGATAGTCAATCTCCTGAACATGTAATTATTTAAATTTTAAATTGTTAACTTGATATAACTCAATTTTTTATGTACAGATGACTGTAGCTGCAGACGTTCTTATAGAATGTGATCAAGTAATGACTGATGTTGATAGCAATGAAACAGGTACTGGTTCATTGTCTACTACTACCACACCTACACTTTCATATTGTCCTTTATCAGAAGATAGTTATAGTGATCTAAATACTACTCCGGGTTCCCATAAAACTGGAATTGATTTTACTGTATCGTCTGATATTTTAACTAAAAATCTTTTGACTACTCCTCGAAATCGACTTAGTTTTCAAGGAGACTTAAAGAGTAGAAGTCTATCTAATGATCGACGTAGTTATCAAGAAATTAAATTAGCAAATGTACGAGATAATTGCCATAGTGAATCTTTTAATAACAATAAAATTGAAGATAAAGTGAAATCAGATACTTCAATTTTATCTGAATCTCTTAGTTGCTCACCAAAAAAAGAAGAATCTGTGTATGAAATTGTTATAGGTAATAATTATGAACGATTAGGTCATAAAAATTCAATTTTTAACCAAGAAGACTCTAGTTATGAAGAAGTAATACCATCATGTAAAAGTTCTAATGATTCTGCTGACAACTTGAATTTTGAGACTGAAAAATCTACTGAAAATATTCATTATGAGACATTAGTTGTTTCTAGCCCAGAATCTTGTAATTCTAGTCAACGTGAAATGTCAGTTTCTCCTCAGGTATTTAAAATCAATTAATAATAGTTTGTTTCATTTATCTTACTTTTATAAAATTGTACAAAATTTATTTTTAGGATAATTTAGAGTATACAAATTTAAAAAGTAGGGAAATACTAAATGATCATAAATGTTTAGATAATAATGGTTATTTAATATCTCCTACAAATGAAGATACTGAAATGTTATTACAAGATGTATACAAAACAGAAATATTATCTACTGAAAAAGATGAACAGTTAAAAAATCTTGAAAATATAAATGATAAAATAAACAATGGAAAATGTTTAGTAATGTCAACTGATGAAGTTTCTGAGAGTAAATTAGATTTATTTTTAGATTCAAATAGACGGAAATTTGAATCAGAAATAGGAAGAGATATAGTTCATGAAAGACGTATGAGGAAAGAGTTAATGGATAATTCAAGTTCTACTGGTAAATAATGTATACTAAACTATTTATTGTAAAATAACCGTATATACTTTGGTCTGGTTATTTGTAAATGTTTTAACTAAAAAATATAAAATACTAATTTCATAATCCCATATTAATATATTTCAAAACATTTATAACTATGTAAATAATAAGTCATTAAATGATAGATATGTACAGTGGCTTGTGCAGGAATTTGATATGTATTTTCAATCTTTATTCTTTATTATTATACAAAAAAAAGAAATGCAATCAAGGCGGAAATTCATCCTTCTGGCTTTTACACTAAATTCATCAATTATTTGTTCTGTAGATAATGGAATGTCTCGAAATATGTTTATTAACACCAATCCATTTAACAATGACTGCCCCGTCGTATTTCTTATATACATTTTTTAATGTTTAAGACTAAAAAAAAAAAAGCCCAAGGGGGATATATCCCCCATCACCCCCCTCCCCCTGCGCACGCCACTGGATATATATTATTATTAACATATTTTTTACTAATAATTTAGAATTTTCATAAATGCATATGTTTAATTTGATTTATTAATTATTAATATTAATATAACAATAGAATATTAACTTTTAATTAATAATAGTTAATAATTATATATGTTTTGTAACTATCATTTAAATAATTGTTTTAGGCAATAAGGAAAATTCAACCAATGATCAAGAGTCTTTGTCTAAAACTGATTCTAATAAATTAAAAAGTTGTTCTATGTCAATAAAAAATAAACGACTTCGTAACAATTGTCAACATGTTACTACTACAGTTTCATTAGATGCTTTTAGTTTTCCTAGTGATAATCAAAATTTAGAACGTGTAAAAACATCTCCAAATCTTATAAGTTCAGACATTAGTAGTCAGAAATCTGATATGTCTAGTGAAATGGATGCAACAAGACGAGAACGCATTGATCGTTATAAAGAAGAACGTCGATTAGCTCTCCGTGAACGTTTTAAAACATCTGAAACCATTCAACATGATGATGACATAATTAAACGATTAAGAGCAAAATCTTTGAAATCACCTGATGAATGCACTGACAAAAATAGTAATGTATCTATTAAACCAAAACGTTTAGTAAAAATATCCACATATGATAAACGTGACATAGTATCATCTGATTCTGGACAAAAAGAATGGTATACACGAAGTTTAGAGCGTAATAAATGTACTAAAATTGAAACGAAAGGTTTAGTAGCATCAAGAGTAAATCAATTGATTGGTTTCACTTCTTCAGATGGAATTAATAACCAAAATACTTTTAAAACAGTTATAGAAAAATCAACTTCCAAGTACATATTATTTATTAGTAGCTAATTTATTATGTATGTTATGATTAAGGTTTCAAATATTTTGTTACAGTTCAGTGAGACAACGAGCACACAGTACCAGTGATAGACCATCTCAGTTTTGTATAAAAGATATGGCTGCATTTTTTGAACAAAAACAATAAAATTATTATTATTCAATTTGATAAACTTATATTTATTAATAGTATGATGATTAGTTTTAACATTGATTTTAAAATATAATATTAATGTATATTTTAAAATCAATGGTTTTAATAAAACTTATTCGGTAAGATTTAAATGAATAGAAAAAAAAATGATTATTTGCTGATCAAGTAATACAAAAGATTACTAAATTATATGAAAAATAACTAATCTCTAACAATTATATAATTTTTTAGTTATAAGCTGTTATAAAATATATGAATGATGTATTTACATTCTAATTGAGTATATAAATATGTCGTTTTGTTATTAAAACTAATTCTGTGATAGTGATTTTATTAGGTCTTTATTTTAGACCTCATAAAATAATTTTTTGAGCATATAATGTTTGCTTTTTGATTACATTATATTTAGTATTTAATAAATACAAAAATGTGACACTTAGTGAAACCCTATCTGTTCTTATATAATTTCTATTGTTATTTTAAAATAGGATAAAAGATCATTGAAGCTATAATTATATAAGCATAATTAAGTATTTTTTTTGAAAAACTGATTATTTTTATTATTTTTTTTTTTGTTATGTTATGTATATTTAATATGTTATAAATCTCAAAAAATAAATAAAAATTAAACTGTACAACTTTGGCCAAAGATAAAATTATAGTCAATTTACTATAAAAAATATGCCAAATTTTTAATTTACTCTTTAATCTCAAAAAGTCAAAATATTTTATAATAAATGTTGTATTTATTACATATTTTCAATTATTATTTATTTTTTTTTCTTTATGATAAATTATAAAATACCTACTTTTCTACTACAGTATTTTATCATGACTTATTTTTGTCCTGTGTTTTTTCTATGTATACATTCATATGGTATTCTTCTACCAAAGTATTATTTTGTACAAGTAGCTTAAATCTCATTATCAATTTTTGTTTAATTTTTTATTCATATGTATTTCATAGTGTTCAATATTTTAATACAATCATTTCATGTTCTTATTACATTCAAGTAACTAATTAAGGAAGTAATTTAAATTTCAATATTATTAACCTAATTTTGTAAACAAATTTAATTATTAATTAAATTAACTTCATATTATACTTATTTTATTTTTATAATTCATGTTCTTTCACTTAATTTACTACTTACAACTTATCAATTTGATATACTTTTGATAATTGATTTAACTAATATTATTAATAAGTAGTACAGTTGTGGTTAATTATTATTATAACAAATTAATGTTATTGTTTTTATTTCTATATGCAGAAAAACAATATTCATAGATCTTTATTTAAATTTAAATAAATTTTTTAATAGTTTTTTTTTTTTAACTTGTTAATAAATTTAACCAATTTAAGAACATAATTTTATTTAACTACTACACCTATTACATTATGTATATTTTATTATTATATATATTTTTTTAAGACTGTCAATAAAATGTTATTTTTAATTTTGCTTGTTAAAAATAGAGTATTTAGCCTAATAATTAACAACATATTAAGCTCCTCATATAATTGTTATGCACAAAATTGTACAAACATATATGTTTAAGTGTTTTCTTTTAAGTTTATATTATTATTTTATATGTATTTTTTTTTTTACTTATAACACCAAAAATAACAATAAACCCTTCAAATTCTGTTTGGCTTATGGTAATTAAAAATAATAATAATAAATACATAACAATCAGTAAATTCAACAATCTTGTTTTTAATTTTAAAACCTAATATGACTATCAATATCATCAATGTCAAAAATTAGAAAGCCTGTGGACATGGACCATTATAAAGACTATTATAAAGACTTAAGATGATAGGTGGTAAACCACTTAATGTTAAAAATTATAGTTGTTATCACAGAATATTTTTTTAGTTATGACTAATTTTAATGATATTGGCCAGTGGTTCCCAACCCATTGGCCATGGCCCAATTGTGGGCCGTGAATCATATAGTATTAACATTACTAACATTTATATCTTAAATATTAAATATCAACAAGTGGTGGTTATCAGGCCCTGTTTTAATGTGTACCATGAATGTATAAGTGTGCACTACAGTCTACAAAATAAAAATTAAATAATAAGCCAACTACTATGAAATATGAGTATGATTGAATTTTTTAAAATGTAATGCATATATATATTATTTACGTAATATATTCCTTTTTTTAAGATAGTAGCGAGACTAAATTTTAATTTAAAGCAGTAAAATCAAGTGTGCAGTCCGAAATTGTACAAATAATAGGGCCTAGTGGATATTCATTGATTTGCCTTTTATGTGATCAAATTCTAAAATCGTTTTTTAAAACAACATCAATAGTGTTATTTTGGTTAAATTTTCGGCAAGACTATCCAGCAATCACTAAAATTTCACTTAGAAACTTGATTAGCTTTTTAACAGCATAATTGTATAAATGAGCTTTTTCTACTTTAATTGTTTTAAAAAATAAATAAAGGAATAAATTAAATGTTGAGAATGATTAAAGGCTATATTAATCAGTTTTAAATTTAAAAATCTTAATCCAGTTATTATGGGCTCTATTGTGGAGGACAAAAAATGTATAAAATCACATTACATTTTTTAACTTGTGAATAATCAAGTTTAATAATTTTTTTTTTTTTTTTTTTTGTTCATCTTCTTTTTCTTGAAGTTCCTATACGTTTTAGATGTTAAAGATCATATTGAATATAGTTTTACTTCCTTTTTTAGTAATGAACGAAATAGTTGATGTTATACTAAACCAGTCCCGGAGACCGGGTTTTTTTGGTTAGCAATTTTTTATTAATATTATTATGAAATTGGTGGTCCGCATCAGTGGCGGTTTTATGGTGGGGAGATTTATAGATGATTTAGACTCCCCCACAGGTCAAGCGTTTAGGTTGTGATATATTATATTTTCTATATTTTGTCTTGTAACAAAAATGTTATGCTATTTTTTTTTGTTAATGCATGAATCAGATTTTAAGACTTTAATAAATAATTAATGGGTTAAATATTTTTGTTTACATACAATATAAGATGATGTAAAAGGACCCCCCAGAAAAAAGTAAAAAAACCCGCATTATTAAAAAGGTTGGTAACCGCTGATATAGGTGATTTAATATTTCTTTAAATAGTAGAAACTATTCGAAACATTGAAAAAGTGTTTATTGACTAAGTACTAAAAATATAAATGCAGGATAAATAAAAAAATTTCAAACTTCAATATTTGATTAAAAAATTAAGATTAAAAAAATTGGCAGTGTTAAATCACTAACATTATTTATGGCTATGAACAAGGCTCGGAACATTTGTATATTTGTTTAAAAAGTGCATATTCAAATTCAATTCAAATTCGATCCTTGGTACGTAGATTTCAAATACAAAAATTTTTTGTTGCATATTTTATTTAGGAATTCGCTTATTATAGGTTAAACACGTTGACTACCATGAATAGGTATGCTCGGTGCTTCTCGAAAGAACAAGCATTTCCTACCGAACTAATTTTTAGAAAATTTCCATTACGTACCAAATCCATAATTCCATAACTAAGCAAGATAAAAATATTCCAATTCGACCATTGTGATCTAGATTATATAAGGATCATTAGTATACTTATTTTGGCGTGAGAAATTCAAGCGACACGCATAGCACAAAACGAATAAATGTCAGTTTTTTCATGTGTTACCCGATATTCTCAAAAAATATTTGATGGTTATTCAAAGAAATATTTAAGTACTTTTGAACGCAGTGTTGAGATATGGTTTTTGATTATCTTTAGCTATTTTTCCATGGAAATTGTCGATAACGAGGACCATAATAATTGTGTATCTTTATAGCTAGAGTATTATATAAAGTAATACTAGATGTGAATAATAGTATTATAGATGTGGATGTAATATAGATGTGCTGGTTATTATGAATAATTAAGAAAAGAGTTGAGAAGAAATGAGGCACACGGGCGCCGGAACAATGGGGGCAACTGGCCCCACGAGAAAAATTCCGTAAGGGCATAGTCCCCACAAACATTTTGCTAGAATTTACGCTCCCGTGTCTAAAATACATAGACCATCTTCTATATTAATTTTTATGTTGAATATAGAAACAAAACTCAAATATATTTAATAAACTGTCTGTTTTTAAGAATTCATATACACATAAAGTAAACTAATATTTTATTTAGAAATAACTTGCATGTACTATGTGTGTAGTAATTTATATTTTATGTAGTATATGAGGTTAGCATAGGTAGTATATGCCAATAATGAAGCACAAAAAAAATGAAAAAGTAAACACCATGTGTGAGACGTGTGAAAATAATCCTTATTATTGTATACTGTTTTAAAATTTAACAAAAATAAGTTGTAAATTTCTTAAAAAAAAAATTAGGGTTTCCGGTAATGTAACAGTTCTTCTATTCTTAATTTTATATCTTTATTGTATAACAAAGGAATTAAAAATTATTCGGCGGGCTTAGGTATAACTTTTATTTTTAGCAGATAAAATGTTATCTGCCGATGATAATGAGCCTCGCACGCATCCACAATGCTTATATATAGTAATTGTAATAATATTGACATATTTGACCATTAAAATAGAAATATGAACATGTACATAATTGATAATTTGGTATCTACTATTTAGTTATTAGATAAAAATAAATATGCCAGCTATTTCACAACCAAGTAATTCCCTGGTCAGCTCTAAGTGACTAATAATATTGCGGAAACCAAAAACATTTATCAAAATGCTATTATGACATTCGAATCATGAGTGAACATAATACATATAAAGACGGGTCCACACCAAACGCGCCTCCGCGCGCAACGTTGCTGTAACATAACTGCAACATTTCATCGCCTGTAACATTCTCGCGAGGACAGATCATATGTTTTCCAACTGTTGTCAATGTACCTATTCAGTGAATATGCCGTTCAGAGGGTACAGTCGCCGCTATTGTTTCGTTCTAAAATTTTTATAATTTATCTTTCACTAGTACAATGTCCGATCAAATCATTAGTGCTGCCTTTATTGTTATACATAGCCTACT